GACAAAATAACAAAACTAAAAACACGAGCGTCGCATGGACCGAATCTGATGAGCAGCAGCGCGTCACACCCGCATACCAAGTTTAGTAATAGTAGTAGTATAGTATTTATTCATATTACTCTAGGGCTTAGTGGGTAAATCTCTGCATCCAGAACAGTTCAGTTCAGATAGGAATGCAACAACACACGCACAATGTCCACTATGTCACAGTGTGGTAGGGAGAGAAGTGTTTGCAGCTTGCTGGTAGACGTTAAGCCGTGCATGCATTGGCAAATGGCTAGAGCAGACGGCCCGCTGCCCTTAATGTAAGGCACACACGCAAGCGTCAGAGCTACAGCAGCCAAACAGCATAGTTCATGGATTCATGAAAGACTGCACCATACACTGCGCCAGCTCTGGTAGGGTGCCCTTTTGAGCATCGTCACTGGTCGGTGACGTTTTGCAGGCCTCACCATCAAAGATGCGAGGTGATGCTGCTGATCGACTTGCTGGCATGATAGTCACAAGCATAACTAACGAAGGATGGCTGGAAGTCAAAACCAGCTGTAGATGTAGATTCCAGGTATACCAGACAATTACTGACGCCAGCACTTTATCCGATGCCCCATCAGCGTCAACTGTACGCCGATGGTCACAGGACCGTGACAGCCTTTCGATCGGTCTACGGTCGGGAGACGGGGCTGCAAGCCCAAAGCAGCGGGTATATAGTGTTCGTCACCAGCTGAGCAAGAGAGCTTGCTGAGAGATTTAGGTGTGCACTGTTCAGCAACCAGTCCCAATATAGGTTTGTCCATGAAGGCTGGTGATCCTCAGCTATCATACAACAAATTCCTACTCACTGCGCATATGCGCATATGGCTTGTGAAACAGCAGCAGAAACTGCACTGCCTTGACAAACGCACCAGTTACCATGATGGACCAGATATGCCCAGCCCTGGAAGCCAACACCAAATCTCCAATCGCTAGTACAAGTAGCTCTTCACTGAATCATGCCTAGTGCATGCTTGCAGTGATATTTTCAGCAAGAGCGCTGCAGTTACTGCTGAGGAGATATATTGCGTCCTTGAAGTCGAAGGCGCTCATCAAAGATGTCTTGCCATCAATTCTTGGCCTTATGCAGGCACGAGGTGGTCTTCCGTGGCATTGGCCATATTACCCCGAGCTGCACTTGCTCGAGGAGCACGTTGTTTCGCTCATGGAAGTCCGAGGCTTCGTGTTGGACTGAGTAGGCTTGCTGAGAGAACAGAGCGCTGAATCCATCCACGTCCACAACTACGAATAATTTACAAAAACATTCCGACTGCAGATCAGCGCTTGAAAACGGCGATGCAAATCAGCGACGTTGGGCTTCTCCATTCAAAAGTAGAGCCTTCCTAACGAAGCAATTCTCATGTGACACTACATAGTCTCTCATGCACTCTAGTTCAGGTCTTCTTCTCTCCACTCCATTATCATTTCGATCTTCACTCGGTCGACGTGATGGTAGTAGCTATGTAAAATTGATGGATTCCTCCCGATCCTCGTCGCGGCTAAAATTTGTTCGGTGTTTGTCTAAATTCTCAAACTGACAGGGTTTACAAGAGAAATGTATCTAATTTTGTGCGATTGATGCAAATAAATCGGAATATGTCTGACTTCATAAATCCGTGCGGTAAACCGCATGAAAGGACGCCATGTCATTAGATGGTGCACATGAAGTCACCGTGTTTGGGCAGGCTTTGTCCCCGAGTCCCCTCCCCACTGGGCATCCCATGCAGAAGCTTCAAGTAGGGGAGAAAGTATGGCCATCAGCCATGATCATGGGGAATGATCATTGCATTTTCATCCTGCACTGACTAGAATCCAGTTGTTTGAAACCGGGTGAGAAGCTTGTCACTATCGGATAGCGGCCATGGACAAGGTCAAGGATCAGGGAGTGAACATGCAGTGACGACGAATCTTTTATAAGAGGAGTCGTCGACTTTGAGAAGGATGTCTACGGCCATACCACGTTGAAAATACCGGTTCTCGTCCGATCACCGAAGTCAAGCAACGTCGGGCGAGGTTAGTACTTGGATGGGTGACCGCCTGGGAATACCTCGTGCTGTAGACTTTTTTTCATTCCTTTTCTTCTCTTTTCTTCTCAGTTTTAATAAGCTTTTTCTTCTTGCGAGTTCTCTCTAGAGCTCTACTACGTGTACTAGTTGTTAGTCTAGCTGTGTCTGGCGTGAGTGGGTGTGTGGTTCGCGGGTCGTGTGGGCCAGGTTGCAGTTTTTCTTTTGTTTGTTTTGAGCTTTGTACCCTCTCTGTGATGCGTCCAGCTATTGTGTTGCTGCTGCTGCTGCTGCTGCTGCTGCTGCTGCTGCTGCTGCTGCTGCTGCTGCTGCTGCTGCGGCTGCTGTCGGTGGTGGTGCTGGTGCTCGTGGTGGTGCTGGTGCTGGTGGTGGAAAGGGCCAAACCGTTTTTCATCATGCTCTGACACACTCACTGACTACACTTTTGTAAGCAACTAGGCAGTTTGACCTTGGTGGGGTGAGTGGTTGCATGGGTTGGTCCTGCATGCATGTCTGGTCACGAGGGCATGATGTGCAGGTGCTTTGGGCAGGCTTTGTCCCCGAGTCCCCTCCCCACTGGGCATCCCATGCAGAAGCTTCAAGTAGGGGAGAAAGTATGGCCATCAGCCATGATCATGGGGAATGATCATTGCATTTTCATCCTGCACTGACTAGAATCCAGTTGTTTGAAACCGGGTGAGAAGCTTGTCACTATCGGATAGCGGCCATGGACAAGGTCAAGGATCAGGGAGTGAACATGCAGTGACGACGAATCTTGTATAAGAGGAGTCGTCGACTTTGAGAAGGATGTCTACGGCCATACCACGTTGAAAATACCGGTTCTCGTCCGATCACCGAAGTCAAGCAACGTCGGGCGAGGTTAGTACTTGGATGGGTGACCGCCTGGGAATACCTCGTGCTGTAGACTTTTTTTCTTTCCTTTTCTTTTCTTTTCTTCTCAGTTTTCATAAGCTTTTTCTTCTTGCGAGTTCTGTCTAGAGCTCTACTACGTGTACTAGTTGTTAGTCTAGCTGTGTCTGGCGTGCGTGGGTGTGTGGTTCGCGGGTCGTGTGGGCCAGGTTGCAGTTTTTCTTTTGTTTGTTTTGAGCTTTGTCCCCTCTCTGTGATGCGTCCAGCTATTGTGTTGCTGCTGCTGCTGCTGCGGCTGCTGCCGGTGGTGGTGCTGGTGCTGGTGGTGGAAAGGGCAGAACCGTTTTTCATCATGCTCTGACACACTCACTGACTACACTTTTGTAAGCAACTAGCCAGTTTGACCCTCACGGGTGGGGTGAGTGATTGCATGGGTTGGTCCTGCATGCATGTCTGGTAACGAGGGCATGATGTGCAGGTGCTTTGGGCAGGCTTTGTCCCCGAGTCCCCTCCCCACCGGGCATCCCATGCAGAAGCTTCAAGTAGGGGAGAAAGTATGGCCATCAGCCATGATCATGGGGAATGATCATTGCATTTTCATCCTGCACTGACTAGAATCCAGTTGTTTGAAACCGGGTGAGAAGCTTGTGTTCCGTATTCCCCGGAACCAGGTTGCATCAGTACCGTAACTGTAATACCGACTGCGGATACTTTCCGAACCCACGTTCAACAATGGAGACAAACTTTACTGGTTCGAGTTCTCACTCTCAAAAAACCAACTCCATCTTGGATTATCTTGGATGCACTCTAACAATGCCCTAGCAAAAACCTATCAAGAACCTAGCTAGAACTGACTGTAGAACAAAGGATACACAGCTACATGTATAAGCAAGCGTCGATGTGTATAGGGAGTACAAGCAATACTATCAATGGTGAATGCGTGGTGTAGTCTAATGAGTACGTGTTGGCGGTCAGACACTTGACCTTATCGTATTATGGTAAGAGTCATGCACATGTATGGAGCTTGAGGCAGTCATGCATGGCTACAGTACAGGTGCAGTGCTGGATGAATGCACGCAAAGTGCAGTCCTGTAATGTGACCTGTTGAAACCTGAAAGGTACCAGGCGTCACCAGGACTCCGACATACCTCCCTCGCGAATGAATCATAGCCTAATCAATGTATGCGAGTGAGACAAACTAATATTCCGAGTGATGTTCTAACTCCTGGGGAACTGCTATTGGATGTCACACCTAACATCATTGTGTCAAATGCATGCCGTAATGTCACTAGACATATCCGGGAACGAGGATACGTCTTATCTAGCCGGTTGGATGTATTGTTCACTCTGATTGTGGATTGCTTGCTAACACTACAGTCACAGCCTTACTACCTCATCGCCACTGCCGTACCACCATCCACTATTCGCTCAGCTGGTGACATTGTCCACATTGACGTTGGCTGTCGCTGGGCAGTTCTCGGAGTCGAGCTCCACCTCACCCTCTGTTACCTCCAGTGGGATGAGGCGATGAACTGATCGTCGATACTCCTTGCCTTTGATCTTCACGTTGACTGCACGGACGACACCATCTTGCCCTGGGTATGTGGCTGTGACGCGTCCCAGAGGCCATGTCGCGCGCGGAGTACTCTCATCCATGACAAGGAAGACCTCACCCTCCTCGACGTCTTTTGCCTTCCTGTACCACTTGGACCGGACGTTTAGCGCCGGGACCATCTCTCGCAGCCACCTCTTCCAAACTTGCCTTGTCAGCACTTGTAGAAACAGCCAGCGCCGTCTGGGGTGGACCTTCTCCAGATCCTCTGTCTCCGCCTCGAGGTGTGTGACTGCAGCCGCGCGTCCCATCAGGAAGTGGTTTGGCGTCAACGCTTCTGGATCGTCGCTGTCAGATGATACGGTGGTAAGGGGACGGGAATTCAGCATTGCCTCGGCATGTACCAGCGCTGTTGAGAACTCCTCATCCGTGAGGCCAGCCTGGTGCAGCACATGCCAGAGTGCGCGTTTGACTGCCTTGACCATCGTTTCTACTACACCACCGAAGTGGGGCGTTCTCGGTGGGTTGAAATGCCACTGTACATCTCACAGCTCGGAGTGGGTGGTTAGGCGGTCTTGATCTATCGTGCAGGTGGCTTCGCGCAGCTGTCGCTCTGCGGCGGTGAAGTTCGACCCGTTGTCTGTCACTATGAACTCCGGGGTTCCACGCCTCTTGCAGAATCGGGTCATCGCCATCAAGAACCCATCTGTGTCGAGCGAGTTGACGGGCTCCAGATGTACCGCTCTGGTCAGCAGGCACGAGAATACGCAGATATACCGCTTCTGCTGCACCTTGCCTCGTCCCTGGCGCGTCAGAAATGGACCGGCAAAGTCGATGGTCACCTTGCTGAAGGCGATAAGTGGTGACGAGGTCCGGTAATCCGGCAACCCTCCCATGATTGGAGTCAAAGCCTTCGCGTAGCCTCGTCGGCACTTGACGCACCTGTGGCGATGCTGTCGCACAACGGACTTCCCGTTCATCAGCCAGTACCGGTTGCTGAGGTTGGCCAGCAGGTGGTTGGGACCCATGGAGTGCTGACATCTCTCGTCTTCGTCATCCACGATCAGGGCTGTGACCCGATGTTTCGGTGGCAGGATGATGGGGTGTCTTGTCGTCAGCGGCAGATGGTGTGCAGTGGTGAGTCTCCCACCGACCGTCAGTACGGTTGTGCCATGTACCTCCTCCAGCTGGGGTCGCAGCTTCAGCAATGGCTCGTTGGGATCGGGTTCCTTGCCGGACTCCAGTCGCTTGATGACCTTGCCATACACCTCCTCCTGGGCCTTCCGTACCCAGAACACGTCGGCCGCCTGGACCTCTGCAGGGGAGAGAGCGGGTACTGTCATACCGTTCACTGACTTGGCAGATCCAAACTTGCGTCGTGGAGCGGGTGTTGGTCTGTTGGCGCCAGCCTCCCTCGGTACACGGACGTTACGTACAAAGCGCTGACACCAAGCGGTGACACGGATGAGCCGCGTCCAAGACGAGAAGTTGGAGGGGTTAAGCTGGTACCTCCCTGGAACCGCGCTGAACGACATAGCGGATCGCTTCTTCAGCTCTGCCGGCAGACTACTGGGAACCTCGATCGGCCGCGCCGGGAATGCACTCTCGGGTCCGCGTAAGAACTTCGGGCCATGCCACCAGTCGTCATCGGATGCGAGCTGGGCTGCAGATAGGCCCCGGGTGCCCTTGTCCGCAGGGTTGATTGATGTCGGAACGTGCCTCCACTGACGGGGGTCCGACAGTGCTTGGATCTTGCTGACCCTGTTGCCCACCTCGACTTTGAAACGGCGGCTGTGTGAGCGAAGCCAGTACAGGACATTGAGGCTATCACTCCAGTACGTGATGTCGGACGAGCTGATGCCGAGGGCTTGGGCGACTTGTTCGGCTACCTCGGCGCCGAGTACAGCTGCTCGTAGCTCAAGCATGGGGATCGACTGTCGGTGTAGCGGGGCTGGTTTAGCCTTGGCCATGGCCAGCGTGGACCGAGCCATGCCGTCTGGATAACTCGCCCGTACGTAGACTGCTGTTGCGACTGCTGCGTCGGATGCGTCAACGAACACATGGAGGCTGAACTCTGCATCGGCCGGATCCCGGTCTGGGTCCTTGAATGACCTGGTGGCTCTCACGGCTTCTAGCTTGGGCAGTTCCTCGAAGAACTTCCTCCAACCCTTAGCCTCAGGCTCTGCGAACTCCTCATCCCATTCCAGCCCGCGGAGGCAGGCGTCCTGGAACATGACCTTTGCTCGGATGGTGTAGGGTGACACTTGCCCTCGTGGGTCAAACAGAGAGGCCATCTTGCTCAGGACAGTGCGCTTGGTGTACTGCGTGATGACGGGCACCTGGTACTTGAACGTGAAATGGTCGCTCTCAGCATCCCAGGCGACTCCTAGCGTCTTCACGCAGGGTAGCGTGGGGTGTTGGTGGTCAGCTACCGAGATCAGCGTGTTCGGCGCCCGGTCGGCTTCTGGCACAAACTTCATGACCTCTGCACTGTTCGACATCCACTTCCATAGATGGAAGCCTCCCTTGGCCAGTGTCTCCTGGACGTCAGTACGTAGGCCCACCACCGCCTCTGGCGTTGGCGCAGACGCGAGTAGGTCGTCCACATAGAGGTTGTCCATGATGATGGTGCGTGTGGGTGACCCTTCGGCGGCATAGGTGGCCGCAACAGCCTGGACGGCCTTTCCGGCGAGGTATGGCGACGCCTTACACCCGAAGCACACTCGCTGGAATTCGAACACCTTGGCTCTTCCGTCGACCTCCCACAGGAATCGGTGATACCTGCGGTCTCTCTCAGCCAGCTCCACTTGCAGGAACATCTCGCTGATGTCTGCCATCAGAGCCACAGGTTCCTTACAGAACTTGAGTAGGCAACTCACGATGTTGTTCTGTAGTGCTGGGCCGGCGTGCATCTCCTCGTTGATCGAGACGTCGTTCTTCTTGGCCGCCGCGTCAAACACTATCCGCACCTTGGTGGTGGTGCGGTCCTCCTTGATCACGGGAAAGTGGGGCAGGAACCACTGGTCATCCGCATCGTTGTGCACTTCCGTCTCGGGCACCTCGCGGATATACCCCTTCGTCAGGTACTGTTGGATGACACCGGCGTACGCTGCTGCGAGCTCAGGTCGTTTGTACAGGGACCGTTGGAGACTCGCCAGTCGTTGTTGGGCCATCGGTCTGTTCGAGGTCACGTGAGGCTTTCTGTCTTCAGCGACCCACGGGATGCCAATGGTGACATGGTTGTTGTTGAGGCTCATGGTGTCGTCAGTCACCTTCTCGGCTTCACGCTCAGCTCGAGACATGGTCTCTCCCGTGGCTGTAGAGCGGATGGTGTCTAAATTGAACATGCTACGCACCATGGCATTCAGCTCCAGGGTTGGCTCGGTGGGCTCTGCGGTCGCGGCATGTGTGGCGTGGTGGACGGTTGGTTCCGCCGATGTTCCGCTCCCCTCCAGGAGACCAAAACAAATCCATCCGAGTGGTGTCTTTCTTGCGATTGGACCATGGCCAGGCCCACGGCGTTCGGCTAGCGAGGCGTGCAACTGTGGAACGTCAAGGCCCAGTAGGATGTCCACAGTTGGGTTAGCTGGGGTATCCGGATTCATCCCGCGCAGGTGTGGCCAGCTTGCCTTCTGCGCATCCCAGTCCACACGTTGCATGTCGGCGGTTATCTGAGGGAGAACGACCGCCTGCACTGGGGTTGTTGCAGTTGAGTCTTTGTGACAGATCTCTATGGGAGCGATCCTGGACTCGTGCTGCAGACAGCTGCCACCGAGAACAGTCGTGCGCACGGACGTGGTCTCACCGGGTGGGACATTCAGCTTCTCAGCCATGTCGGTGGTGATGAAGCTGCAGGTGGACCCAGAATCCAGCATGATCGTTGCTTGTAGCTCGACGTCTCCACATCTCACTGTCCCCACAGTCGTCATCAGAGCTGGTAGGTTTGCTGGGATTTTGGCATGCAGGGCGCTCGCTGCAGAAGCCATATTCGCGGTGTTGGTGCGAGCGGCGTTTTGTTGGCTACCGCTGCTAGGCCTGTCAGAGTCGTCCCTGTGGAGCAGCGTGTTGTGCTTGCCTTTGCACTTCCTGCAGTGGCTCGAGGTGCAATTTCTGGTGAAGTGGCCGTCCTGTAGACAGTTCACACACAGGCCCAAGAGGCGCACCAGCTCTGATCGCTTCTGGACGGGTAGCTGTTGGAACTCCTTGCACTGCGCCATTGCGTGCTCTTCCATGCACTTCCTGCAGCTCTTCTTCTTCCTTGGGGAGTCAGAGGTGGCGTCGCGGGTAGTGTCCGCTGTTACTGCGGCCAGGGTCGTTGACCTTCTAGGCGGTGGGGTTGGCTGAACGGCGGCCGTCTTGGTGGAGGTTGGTGTCACCAGAGAGGCGGCTTCCGCTCGTTCGGCCAACCACTCAGACAAAACACCAAGGTCTAGTTCATCCGTACTAAGGCCCTTGGCCTTCACATACTCGCCCCACTGCATTCGATGGGGGAGCGACAGCTTGGCCACCAGCTCATCACGGAGCGCAGGGTTGTTCCTGTGGCCATGGCTCTTTAGCAGCTTCATAGTGAGGACGATGTTCCTCACAGATGTGGCCAAGGAGTGCAGGGCGTCCGTGTCCTCTGCTCTGGCTGGCTTCAGCGCCTTGGCCTGCTCGATTAGCTGTTTCACTACCAATTCCGGCCGGCCGAAACGACGCTCCAGTGTCCGGATGGCCTCGTCTACATTGTCTGGCACGGCCAGGAGCAGCTGTACTGCCTCCTGGGCTGGTCCCTTCAGGCAGGTCTGCAAGCGCTGGACGTTCTCTGCGTTTGAGTATGCGCATTGCTCCGTGCTGCTTCGGTACAGCGCGAGGAACGCGGGCCATTCCTCCGGCTTGCCAGAGAAGATTGGCAGCTTGCTGCTGGTGGATGACTGGCGTGCAGCCAGCTGTCTGATGCCAGCGTTACTATCCTCGACCTGGGAGGTCTGCCACTGACGTAGGGCCTGGGTGATTGCACCTACAAACTCACTGGCCAGGTCTGCCATCTGACGCGCAGGATTGCTGTTAACTGTGCTGCCAGTAATAGTACCGGTAGTAGAGGTACAACCACTCATGTACGCGTCTTCGACCTCACTCGCATTACTTGCTGCGCCCTTACCACCGGTACACGTCTCCGTAGCTCTGGCACTAGAGTATCCACGTGGCCCTGACTCTGAGTCGGAGTCTGAGACTGTCATGTAGCCGCGTGCACGTGCACTCGTGTCGCGACGGTGCTTTCGTGGTGCGGGTACTGGCATGGATGCGTGTGGGTGACTGGGTGACGTAGTGCTCGGGATACCGCTATGCCTTGTGCTTGCGGTCGACTCGCAGCGCTCACGTCTCTCCTCGTGGACCTGTGCAGGCTGTGGTTGCACTACCGGTAAGCCTTGTACTTCTCTAACAAGCTCAGTGACACTACCAGACTTCGGCGCTCGTCGTTGTCTGGCACGGCTTTCTCGTAGGGCATACTCCGCTGCGAATAGCCGCTGCCTCAGCTCTGTCATCGATCGGGCCAGCTCATCGTTGCGTTCTCGTTCTGCCGCAAGATCCCTGGCTTGCTTGTCGCACGCTAGCTCGACCATTGCCCTACTCGCCTCAGCTTCCTCTAGGTTCGTCTGCAGTGCGTAAGCGTCTCGCTGGCGCCGCTTCTCGACGATCGCGGATTCATCTCATCGATCATCGTCTGAAGCTGTAGTAGTTGCTGCTGATACGCAACTTCCTTGGCCCGGAACTCACGTTCTACACTGTGTAGACTACTGCCAGTACTGGATCTCGGCAGTTGCTGACGCTCTACGAATGTCCTATCCCAGGGCTCGGGCCCTATTCCCCGCTGAATGGACTCGCTTAGATAGTCAGCGTAAGTGGCATCCGCTACAACAGCAGTGGTGGGTTCAATCGTTCTTTGAAGTACCTGTGTCTGTGCCTGTGCCTGTGGTTCTGGTTGATGAAACAGAGGTTCATTCAGGTGTTCATGAATCGGATCTTGGACTACGCATGGCGGTGCCTGGTAGTGGTAGCTGTGTGCCGGAGTGAATGCACGGACATGCTGGACATCTGAGTCCCTCTCTACATGTGCGTCTATCACTACGTCTACCGGTGGTGGTGTGCTAGCCTGACAGGCCTCTGCATGGTGTAGACCTACTGCTGATTCTGACGTTACGTGCGTAGATCTATGGGAAGCCTCTCCTTCTGATGGCTGAGATTCTACACCGACTACCGTGTGTGACTCTGTTGGTGTTGGAACAGCAACTGAACTAGGTGCAACTACATCATCGTCAAAGTCGATAAGCGACGAATCTTGGGCTGCAACCGCCTCATGCAACTCACCCGCTTCCTGGAAGAGTTCTTCTCGCATCGCAGGAGAGCTGGAGGTCTCAACGGACCTTTCCCTCAACGTCCCTTCGGCTTCCGACATCGCCTGCTCCGTCAACCGGGCGATTTCCAGCTGCTTTTCCGCCACAGCCTGTTCCGCTTGTAACACGGCTATCCTGGCGCTGAGCCTGTCAGCTGAATTCGCGGTGATGGCTTGGCTCCCACTTTCGGTCATCCTGTCATCTCCACCACTAGCACCAGCGTAGGACTGGGTGTCTGTGTACCCGAGTTTTGGCGCTGCGACGCCTTTCGTCGTGCGCTGACTCCGCCTGAGCTTCTCCATCGTGGACGTGATCCGGCTCTCGAAGGACCACTATGTTCCGTATTCCCCGGAACCAGGTTGCATCAGTACCGTAACTGTAATACCGACTGCGGATACTTTCCGAACCCACGTTCAACAATGGAGACAAACTTTACTGGTTCGAGTTCTCACTCTCAAAAAACCAACTCCATCTTGGATTATCTTGGATGCACTCTAACAATGCCCTAGCAAAAACCTATCAAGAACCTAGCTAGAACTGACTGTAGAACAAAGGATACACAGCTACATGTATAAGCAAGCGTCGATGTGTATAGGGAGTACAAGCAATACTATCAATGGTGAATGCGTGGTGTAGTCTAATGAGTAGATCTACGTGTTGGCGGTCAGACACTTGACCTTATCGTATTATGGTAAGAGTCATGCACATGTATGGAGCTTGAGGCAGTCATGCATGGCTACAGGTGCAGTGCTCGATGAATGCACGCAAAGTGCAGTCCTGTAATGTGACCTGTTGAAACCTGAACGGTAGACCTACCAGGCGTCACCACGACTCCGACAGCTTGTCACTATCGGATAGCGGCCATGGACAAGGTCAAGGATCAGGGAGTGAACATGCAGTGACGACGAATCTTGTATAAGAGGAGTCGTCGACTCGAGAAGGATGTCTACGGCCATACCACGTTGAAAATACCGGTTCTCGTCCGATCACCGAAGTCAAGCAACGTCGGGCGAGGTTAGTACTTGGATGGGTGACCGCCTGGGAATACCTCGTGCTGTAGACTTTTTTTCTTTTCTTCTCTTTTCTTCTCACTTTTCATAAGCTTTTTCTTCTTGCGAGTTCTCTCTAGAGCTCTACTACGTGTACTACAAGGGCGCCGGAACCGCACCGCCCCACTTTCTCGGCCGTTTTTTTTTTTTTTTTTTTTTTTTTTAGCACACTGCAACAAAGCGCGATGATCTCAGCGCAAACGTGGCAAATCCTTGTCCCCGATCGTGGTTTGTTGCAGAATCAAAAGTCCATGTACACTGAAATGGCACCAAATGCCTGGGAATGCTTGCAATTGGCTTCAATTTTTGAATTTTTTTCCCGGGGGAGGGTAATGTTTGTCCCCGATCGTAGCATCTTCTTGGTTTTTTGCAGAATCAAAAAGTCTTTCATTGTAGTTACCGTACACTGAAATGGCACCAAATGCCCGGAAATGCTTGCAATTGGCTTTAATTTTTGAAATTTTTTCCCGGGGGAGGACCCCCGGACCCCCCTTCCATGGCCGCCCCACTTCCAAAGTCGTTCCGACGCGCCTGTACTAGTTGTTAGTCTAGTTGTGTCTGGCGTGCGTGGGTGTGTGGTTCGCGGGTCGTGTGGGCCAGGTTGCAGTTTTTCTTTTGTTTGTTTTGAGCTTTGTCCCCTCTCTGTGATGCGTCCAGCTATTGTGTTGCTGCTGCTGCTGCTGCGGCTGCTGCCGGTGGTGGTGGTGCTGGTGGTGGTGGTGGAAAGGGCCGAACCGTTTTGCATCATGCTCTGACACACTCACTGACTACACTTTTGTAAGCAACTAGGCAGTTTGACCTTGTTGGGGTGAGTGGTTGCATGAGTTGGTCCTGCATGCATGTCTGGTCACGAGGGCATGATGTGCAGGTGCTTTGGGCAAGCTTTGTCCCCGAGTAGGCACCGGCGGATAATGCTAGTTATATGAGGAAATTGTGCTACTAGCACTGCTAGTTATTTGGAGCGATTATGCTAGTTATAATGCTAGCAGTGCCGATAGTGCTACAAAAATGTCAATCCATGCGGTGGGAAATAATGACTTCCCTATGCAGTCACTCGGAATATGGCAGTATCACAGGGCAAACACGGTGGAAACGTTAACAGCGGCACCGTCACGGACCACAGCGAGCACTTTCCCAGAAGACAGTTGAAGTTTTGTAGATAGGACAGTGATCAACTCCCGTGACAACTCCAGACCTGCCAGACTCTTTGCCAGTACATGGAAGCGAACAAGCCTTGGTCTCTGATGAATCTTGAAATCCGCATCCACATACCGCAGAACCACTGCAAGTGCCTCTCCCAGGCGGGAAGTTCCATCAAATATGACAGCCACATACGGTGCACCTGATATCTCCTTCTTTAATTCATCTTCCTCCTTGCAGTGCAGGAATGGAATCAGCTGAGCCATGTGAGTCCGTAACAACTCTCCAGGAGAGGGCGCAGGTAATCCACCTTACTGAGCGGAATTCCAGCCTTTAGGAAAGCCTCAACAACGTTGGCCCGCCGAACAACAACATCTTCGGACACAGCTTGTGACAGACCGCTTCCCGCCAGGTCAGACGTGCTTTCACTTGAAAACCTTTTCCACGAAATAGTTATTGCCTGTTGGTGAAGTTTCGCCCGCTTCTTACTCTCCTTTCCTTGCACATGTCGTTGGCTATTCACATGCGCTTTCACAATGCTGTGCTTGATACTGATCGTCAAGTTACAAGCTGTGCAGTAGAGTTTCCCCGCAGAAACTGAGAGGTATTCGCCCGGGAATTCTGCTATCCGATCGTGAGTGCTGCGTCGAGGAGCTGCGGTGGATTTCCCAGCTGACACTCTCACGCGCTTTGCTTCGGAATTCTGGCTCGAGTCGCTCGACTTTCCACTTCTTGCAAACGACCTTTTGCGGGCAATAGCAGCTGGTTGTGCTGCTGGAAGACTGTCGGCTGCCGCGTTCTTTTCCAAGTCAGAGCTTCCCTCTTCGCTAACAAAGCCATCACTCTCACTGCTCTCATCTTCTGTTTCAAAACCAGAGCCTCCGTCTCCCGTAGCTGCCATCGGGCCAACAAATTACGACAAGGTACGACAGTACAACTAGTTTGCTCACTTATAGCGAAGGACTCACCACTTTTATAATTAATTTCACTGTCAACAACGACTCAACATTGTAAAGTTGAAGGCCAAAACGAGAGAGCTTGCTAGCTCAGGGCCCTACGCTATGCTTTGTTGGCCAGCTCATCGTGCATGTTGTTAGAACTGATGGATATGTTTTTTCCTTTGATTAGCTACATCATTGTATTGCAAAAACGTTTCAATGAGTTACTGAAGTAACGTCTTCTGCATAGCTACGGGACCGGCGTTGACTCTGCCGATCACGGGCGTTCTGGAGTTGACAGGATGTCTGTCCTGACGTTTCCTGGGACCGGCGCTGACTCTGCCCATCACGGGCGTTCTGGAGTCGACGGGATGTCTGTCCTGACGTTTCCTGGGACCGACGGGATCTCTCTTCCAAAGTATGTTTATGCTGACGCATCCTATCACCTACTCGGCGTCTATTCTAATTTAATTTCCTCCCCGTCTCCCTATTTCTTTCCAAATCTCCCTCTACATCAGGGAGTCGTATACATAATACGACGAATATTAGTACGGTACGGGACAGATACAGGAGCCCGCAAATATTGTGGACAGCTGTTATGCACAATCCTGTAGAGCCTTTGTAGTCGCAGATACGGGACAGATACGGGACAGATACGGGATAGCTCCAGGCGTGACACAAACAAACAAACACACAAACAAACACCAAACGAGAGAGCTTGGAAGCTCAGGGCCCTGCGCTATGCTTTGTTGCCTAGCGCATCGTGCATGTTGGTAGAACTGATGGAAATGCTTTTTCCTTTGATTAGCTACATCATTGTATTGCAAAAACGTTTCAATGAGATACTGAAGTAACGTCTTCTGCAAAGCTATGGAACCGGCGCTGACTCTGCCGATCACGGGCGTTCTGGAGTCGACGGAATGTCTGTCCTGACGTTTCCTGGGACCGGCGCTGACTCTGCCGATCACGGGCGTTCTTCTTCTTATTATTATTATACTGACGGCAACTAACATCCATTCTGATTGCATTTACTCGTCTCCCTACTTCGTATTAGGCCTTGGCGGATAATGCTCGAAAAGGTGGCAGATTCTGCTCGAAAAGC